TGCCAAGGCAACATTGCCACGGACTCCAAGCTGTGTTCCTGCTAAGGCAACATTGCCGTGGACCCCAACCTGTGTTCCTGCCAAGGCAACATTGCCACGGACCCCAAGCTGTGTTCCTGCCAAGGCAGCATTGCCACGGACCCCAAGCTGTGTGAATGCCAAGACAACATTGCCACGGACTCCAAGCTATGTTCCTGCCAAGGCAACATTGCCACGAACCCCAAGCTGTGTTTCTGCAAAACTTCACAGAGATCGTCAAGACGGCCAAGGGTCGTAAATGAAGAGTCCCCTGTGTGGGCTTCAGTGGGGCCGTCTGGTCGGCCAGCAGAGACACGAAAGGCCAAGAAACGACATTCCAGTCATGGGCTGAGCTCAAGGAGGGCTAGCTCAAGCACCATCCTGCGGCGGGGAAAGGAGGTGGTGCAAGCGGTTCAGCCAAGCCCACAACAGCCAAAAATCTGCTGTCCCTGTCTGGGGGGGGGGGGGGGGGGGGGGGGGGGGGGGGGGGGGGGGGGGGGGGTGGGCGCTGTTCAACCCTAGCACATGGGCGAGAAGCCGTGCATGTGTGACGAGTGCGGCAAGATGTTTTCTCGCGCTCGGCCTACAAGTATATATGTTTTCTTTTCCGCTTGTGTGTTAATCTGTGTTTACCCCGGATATTTTAGAGATGGCAATTCTCCTGTTGTGTATCCTACTGCTGTCCTTCCCGGCCATATCTAGTGCCACACTCAACTCTACAAACAGCTACCCTCGTTACTTTGCGTCCATACTTGTTGCTCGATTTTCCACTACACCTGCTAATGAAACAGCTCATAGACACTTCTACACTCCATCATTGTATCCTTTTAAACCCTATCTTTGTCCCATTACTTCACCAGCACTCCTTCCAAACTTCATTCTGCTCTTAAAAATAACACCATCTGCGAGCTACTACTATTCGTCCAAGGTTCGCCACTCTTCATCCTTTCACAGAAAATACTTGTGCAAACTATTAATTCTACTTTTCTTATTTCTGGGTGGTATTGAGCTTCATCCTGGCCCAAATGAAAAGAACTCGTATAATTCTGTAGATTTTTCTGGCAGGAAAGGTGTTGGTGTTCTACATGTCAACATCAGAGGGCTTGTGATTTAATTAAGTCAACTAAAACTAGAAGTGGCAAATCTTGACCCGGACATTTTTTGCCTATCAGAAACATTTCTCACTCCTGCCGTCAATGACTTGCAGATTGCGATTGACAACTACAACCTTTTTCGGCTTGACCGAGGATCTAAAGGAGGTAGAATTGCCATCTATGTTAGTAATACTATTGCATGTTCACTAGCTCACTCCTTGTTTAAAAAATGTTGCTTTGAAGGTCTGGCTCTCAAAATAACTCTCCCAAATAATCAACAGATATTGGTAGTGTGCTGCTATCGACCACCTAGTGGGAAGGATGTTGAAGCTGCATCTGCACTGAGAGAGCATTTTGGGGGCCTCCCTAAAGGTGAAATAGTTTTAGTGGGTGATCTAAATTGGAATGGGCTAAACCCGCCGGCCCTGGCCACAAATTTTGCAGATGAATTTAATCTGTTTCAATTAATAAATGTCCCCACAAGACCCAACCTAAAAAATCCGGGACAGTCATCTCTGCTTGACGTCCTATTGACAAATGTCCCTCACAATTTCACACTGACTGGTGTTCTGGGTAATAACCTTAGTGATCACTCCTTCATTTTTGGGGTGAGATCATCAGCTAGACCCAAAGCCCCCCCTAAATTGGTTGAGAAGCACTCTATGAGACACTTCAGCACTAATGATGTGCTTCACTCGGATATTGACAAGGCCTGATGATATCTCCAACCTGACTACGGCTTGGGAGACCTTCAGGTACACGTTTCTCCAAATTCTTAACAAACATGCTCTGTTGGTTAGATTTAAAACTAAAGGCAACCGCCCACCATGGTTTGATCCTTTGATTACAAAGCTCATGAAAAGTAGGGACAAGGCTTGGGCATGTGCTCAGAAAAGTAATTTGGTCAATGACTGCCAAGAATACAGGATTTTAAGGAATAGATGCGTCAAAAAATTACGGCATGCAAAAAATGCCTACTTTTCCTCCACTCTCCTGGAATCACATGGAAATGCCAGGATTTTCTGGAAAACAATCAAATGTATCGAAAAGGCATCCAAAACAGACAATCTGCCCGTTGAGCTTAACCGAAATGGGGAATATTTTTCAGATCCCCAAAAAATAGTTGACAATTTTAACCTTCATTTTTCTGAAGCTGGTAATCTTTTTCATAATGTATTGGGAGTCACCCCTGCTCATGCAAATTCCTACACCCCTGTCCAAACATTAAACGAATTTAGTTTCCAGCCAATCCACGAAAGTAATGTTCTGAAACTGTCCTACCTCAAAGGGTCCTCCTCTATCAGAGCAGATAGTTTTCCCGTCTTTGCTCTACTAACTGTTGGTCACCTAATATACAAACCTATAGCCCATATTTTCAACCTGTCCATCAAAGAAGCATCAGTTCCTCTAGAATGGAAACATTCCTATGTCCGTCTACTTCATAAAGGAAAAAAAAGAAAAAAGGATGATCCAAATAACTACCGACCTATCTCAATTTTTTCCCTGTTGATGATTTTAAAAAAAAATTATTGACCTACCAAATTAGCAGTTTCCTGTCCACCAACAATCTACTACATCTAAAACAATCTGGGTTCCGAAAAAAATACAGCACCACATCTGCTGCATTAGACTCTCTGAATCACATTTACAGTCGCCTTGATAATAAGCAGTACTGTGCCTGTCTTTTTCTAGACCTGTCCAAAGCTTTTGATACAGTAGACCACAACACCCTGCTTAGTAAACTAAGTTGCCTCGGTTTTTCCGAAAACGCAGTAAAATGATTACAAAATTACCTCTTTTCTCGCACCCAAACTGTATTCACAGATGGTTGGAGATCAAACAGTTTTAAGATAACAAAAGGGGTTCCACAGGGTTCCATCCTCGGCCCCCTTTTGTTCTCTATGTCAATGACTTGGGCACTGACCTGGATCATTCCAGGGTACATCTTTTTGCAGATGACACGATACTGATTACTGCTGGCCGCTCTCCGGATGATGTGATTGCTAAGCTAGGGTGATTTCAACAAACTACAACATCCCCTCGTTGCTCTTAAACTAGTCCTGAATACCTCCAAAACCAAGGTGCTATGCTTCTCTCCAGGACTAAAGCAGGAAGTTATTTTTCCCCAATTACATTCCTTAAATAATTATCAAATAGAGCAAGTCAAGATCTATAAGTATCTATGGGTCATTCTGGATTCAAAACTGAATTTTGAAGATCACATTGATTATATTGGTAAAAAGACAAAATAAAAATTGGTTTTCTGTATCGACACAAGCACTGCTTCCCCCCAATGTTCTGTTTGGAATTGATAAAAGCTACCATACTGTCTCTACTTCACTACTGTGACATCGTGTATAAATCAGCCCCAAGTACTGTACCTGAAGAAGCTTGATTCCATCTATCACTCGGCCTTAAAATGTACATTGAACTGCCCATATAGGACTCACCACTGTGATCTGTACATTGGGTCAAACTTAACATCTCTTAATGTACGACGGCTTGTACACCAGATCTTATTTATTCACGATGTACTTACAAAAAAAACGCAGACTACCTGCTGGATCTCCTCTCTGTTTCAAAAAACAAATTTGACCTCAGGTCTTCGCTCATTTACCGGCTTCACATTCCCTACTGCCGTACAAAAACTGGAGGAAGGGCCTTTGCTATTGATGTCCCCAGGGTCTGGAATGCTATCGCCAATAAACTGCAACTTGAATCGCTACCAATGAGATCTTCTCTCAAAACTGCTCTAGAGGAGTTGTACACCCCTAGCTGCCACTGCTATTCATTAGCATAAAATAAAATAAAATGTTTCGCTCCGGATGATGCTGCAAAGTATTAGCTGTATTTTGATTTAGCGTGCTGATCTTAAAGGTGCATTGAAAAATTTGATACTTCGACCGATGCTTCTGTTGTTGTGGAGTAACTTATGCAGCCAGCTATGGCTCTAGGATTTGGTGTGACATGTTATTTAAGTAGTTTATTGTAAAAATTCGGTCACAGTCCTTGTGATCACTGTTACAGTACGTTGCAATTATGGCTTTATTTTTTGGTGATTTCGAAAACGTGTTTTGGTTTGGACATGTTTGTTTTGTTGTAGTATGGAGTTAGACTGATGGCCTAAATCTAAGTTTTCTTGTGGTTGTTGTTGTTGTTGTTTGACTTGCATCCCACTGGGATTTTTTTGCACATAGCGTTGGTGTACGGTGCATTTTTCAGGAATATGTTTCTGTTTTTGTTCATGGATTTTCTGTTTGCACAGTCACATAGTCACTTTAAGATGTTTTTCTTGTTCGTGTTTTTGTGTTTTTTGTTTGTTGTGGTTGCACCCGATTCAAGAGCCGAATGGCTCACAGGCCTATACAAAAAAAACTGAAACTGATGGACGTCATCCTCGAACCTCGAGGGACTGCCGACGACGAATCTACCAACTAGACTTACACCAGCTAACCCGGGACATCAGCCTCTAAGCCTCATCTCCCCCGCTTGTCCCCAGCATTCACTCCCCCCCCTCCTCACTTCCCATCACCCGCCCCTTATAACCAACCCCTCACCCACCTGAGTGCCCCCCCCAGCCCCTTCTCAACAGTTGGGTTGCCGGGAAACTCCAATGGCAACCAGCCCGTGGCACCAGATCACAGGTGTAAAAACAAATGTCCTTGAGAGGAAAAGTATTGGCAACCTTTTAGCTAAAACACGCTGTGACAATCTTCACGAAAGTATTTCCCTGATATTTTTCTTCATCTCAGCGGAGGTGTTTTAATCATACCACAGAATTATGTTCACAGTTGTGGATTTTTAGCTTGTTTTTTTTCGCAACAATCCATGAGAAGATTCAAAAGAACAATTTAATCTCCCATGGCAGTGTTTTTATGTTTTACATACCTGTAGATTTTTGAACTCCTTTTCCCTGATCAGCGAGTGCTTTAAAACATACGGAGATAAAATGCCAAAGTCAGATCTGAATCACAGTACTACATCCACATCAATGCAAGCCTTCATTGAATTTAAAATGCCATGCTCGGAGGGAAAGAAAATGCTAATTATTATATGACTATTACTATCAGTTATAACAAATATTTAAGGAGTTTTAGAATGACACTCCCAATATTCAATATAAATTATAAAAAAAAATTGGGTCTCACCATACAATAACGAAAAGGAGGAGAATACTGAATTATTTAAATATTTAAAATAACCACTTTAACACGACAGTTGTGATGCTGCTCCTGAAGAACAGATTATACGTACATCGGTCCTGGCATGTTGATGAGGAATCTAAAATTAAAATCTTATTACATAAGAAAATTCATTCATATTTTTTGTTCATAAACCAGGCATGTGCCTTCATGTGTCCATCGCACTCATGCACCGTCATGCAGATGGCTACTAGTATCTGCGCTCTTAACAACCCTAATGCTGACCTTTTATAACATTGCCGAGCGTGGAGAGAGACTGGTTGATCATGCAGCCTTCCTTAAGCCTTTCCCTGGCGGCCCCAGTGTTGCCTGCTCGCTCACTGCAAAGGGTCGAGTTCACTGAGCAACAACCCACGAGCACAAGCAGACAATGCAACACGGATCAACACGCAGTAACAGTGCCTTACGAGCTTTATTTAATGTAGGAAAGTCGGACCATTGAAATCTCAGATGGATGTTCCTGGAACAATTCTGCGTAAATAACTTGAACAAATGTTTTCAAATGTTAATGTATTTTTTTATATATACTGCACATATGTTACTATGTGACAAATATTTACACTTGAAAAGCTTTCTGGGAATTTATTTTATAATACAGTGAGGTTTTATAAAAGCCAAACAATCCAAAATGAATAGACCAAATTAGTAATTTAATAGCATATTATTATTTTTTACATTTAATTGTTGCAACTTCAAGTGCAATTCAATATATAAAGCAGAATCTTCTTAACTCGGGGCAGATACGCGTTAATAAATGGCGAAAATCTGGAAGTATTGTCATTTAGTTGTAATTTTCTAATTTGAACCTTGAGCTTTGACAACACTTTTGTATAGCTCGCACATTTTTTTATGACACCATAGTCTCAAGCACTCATGTTAACATGATCTAAAAAAAAATCTGTTGTGCATTAATCATATGCAGCATGTCACGTGGCATGAACCATGCTGTTGATTATGACATGGAGAAGCAATGCAAATGCAGTACTGTATACTGCCGTTCTGTTTCAACTGCAGCATGTCTTAATGTGGGCACAAAACAATTCCATATGTTGAACCCATGTTTGCGTAATGTTGCCTTGGCAACAATACAATGTAGATAACAAATTATCACGAACCATATGTGAAACAAAAATAGATATCCTATACAAGTGGGTCACTGAAAATATAGGAATATCATGTTCGGGTTATGGAAATACAGTATTGAAATGCATGGGAACAGGTATATAATGGATATAAATTGCATGTCATACAAATGAAGAAAAACTAACAAAATAAACCCATGGAAACTGCCTACACGAGGACCACTTGCAGTGATCTTAGTTTTCCAATGTTATGAATGAAAACATGGTTGCATTACATATTGTATTGAGAGACACAACTTTACTTAAGTTTTCAACTCCATGACATCGGCAGACAGACCACTATTTTGATAGATGCGTGACACAATGGAGTGCTTAACATTGTGGTGTGTATATTTTTTGGTTAGGGGAAAATAAATATAAACATCTGCAATAATAGTGCTATTAATTTTAGCATAAACACGTTTAAAATGTTTTATAAGACAGTGAGGGAAAAAAACACAAATGAGAAAAACAAAAAAAAGCCACATGCATGTAAAATAATATTCTATGGTTCTTTCGGTAAAGTCACGTAGATAGAAAAATAGTAACAATAAAATGATAAAAAGAAAAATGAAAATAAAGTGAATAAAAATAATAAAATATCACGACGTTTTGATCGCAACACAAGCAGTCGTCATCAGGAACAGAGAGGTTAGCCTCTAAGGGCAAGCTGTTCATAAAGGTTTAGAGATGGGCGGAGAAGCTAATGTTAATGTAGGAGGGGCTGGTACATCAGTATTCAGTCCTTGTTGGATCAAATCTTAAATTATTGCAATCGTATCGGGCACAGGAACTTTAGTGAACAGAGAAGCTACATCGAAACTAACGGGCAAATCACCTGGGAGCAGTGAGATGTATTTAAGTGACGATACCAGGTGAGCTGAGTTAAAAACAGAAGAGGCCGTCTTACCAGTGGATGGCTGCAAGGTCTCAGACAGAAATCGGGCCACTTTGTAGGTGGGTGAGCCAATATTGGAGACGATGGGACGAAGGGGTGTACGTTCTTTATGGATTTTTGGTAAGCAATATCGTCTGGGTGGTCTAGCAGCAGAAGGTTTTAAGGAAAACCGCTTGGTCTGTTCAATTAATGAGGCTGAATCAGTGATACCGTTCGTTTTAGCAACGAGGCAGTTGGTGGGATCTCTTTTAATTATTGTCCTGAATTTTGTTATTGTACGCGTTTTTGTCCATGATGACCGTGGCATTGCCCTTGTCGGCTGAGAGGATGACGATATCTTCCCTATTTTTAAAATGTTATTGTTATTTTTCTTCTATCTACGTGACTTTAACGAAAGAACCATAGAATATGAATTCCTGCAGTCACGAATGTTTTAAGTCAAAATGTAAGATAATATTGGTATTTTTTAACCATGTTACAAAACACAGAAATTTATCATAATGGGAAACAGTTTGTATGTATGTTGAATTTCATTCGCACCGTACATACAGTGAGGGAACAAAGTATTTGATCCCTGCTGATTTTGTACGTTTGCCTACTGACAAAGAAAAGATCAGTCTATAATTTTAATGGTAGGTTTATTTGAACAGTGAGAGACAGAATAACATTAAAAATAATCAAGAAAAACGCATGTCAAAATGTTATAAATTTATTTGCATTTTAATGAGGGAAAAAAGTATTTTACTCCCTCTCAATCAGAAAGATTTCTGGCTCCCAGGTGTATTTTATACAAGTAACGAGCTGAGATTAGGAGCGCACTCTTAAAGGGAGTGCTCCTAATCTCAGCTTGTTACCTGTATAAAAGACACCTGTCCACAAAAGCAATCAATCAATCAGATTCCAAACTCTCCATCATGGCCAAGACCAAAGAGCTCTCCAAGGATGTCAAGGACAAGATTGTAGACCTACACAAGGCTGGAATGGGCTATAAGGCCATTGCCAAGCAGCTTGGTGAGAAGGTGACAACAGTTGGTGCGATTATTCGCAAATGGAAGAAACACAAGAACTGTCAATCTCCCTCGGCCTTGGGCTCCATGCAAGATCTCACCTCGTGGAGTTGCAATGATCATGAGAACGGTGAGGAATCAGCCCAGAACTACACGGGAAGATCTTGTCAATGATCTCAAGGCAGCTGGGACCATATTCACCAAGAAAACAATTGGTAACACTACGCCGTAAAGGACTGAAATCCTGCAGCGCCCGCAAGGTCCCCCTGCTCAAGAAAGCACATATACATGCCCGTCTGAAGTTTGCCAATGAACAACTGAATGATTCAGAGGACAACTGGGTGAAAGTGTTGTGGTCAGATGAAACCAAAATGGAGCTCTTTGGCATCAACTCAACTCGCCGTGGTTAGAGGAGGAGGAATGCTGCCTATGACCCCAAGAACACCATCCCCACCGTCAAACATGGAGGTGGAAACATTATGCTTTGGGGGTGTTTTTCTGCTAAGGGGACAGGACAATTTCACCGCATCAAAGGGACGATGGACGGGGCCATGTACCGTCAAATCTTGGGTGAGAACCTCCTTCCCTCAGCCAGGGCATTGAAAATGGGTCGTGGATGGGTATTCCAGCATGACAATGACCCAAAACACACGGCCAAGGCAACAAAGGAGTGGCTCAAGAAGTAGCACATTAAGGTCCTGGAGTGGCCTAGCCAGTCTCCAGACCTTAATCCCATAGAAAATCTGTGGAGGGAGCTGACGGTTCGAGTTGCCAAACGTCAGCCTCGAAACCTTAATGACTTGGAGAAGATCTGCAAAGAGTGGGACAAAATCCCTCCTGAGATGTGTGCAAACCTGGTGGCCAACTACAAGAAACGTCTGACCTCTGTGATTGCCAAAAAGGGTTTTGCCACCAAGTACTAAGTCATGTTTTGCAGAGGGGTCAAATACTTATTTCCCTCATTAAAATGCAAATCAATTTATAACATTTTTGACATGCGTTTTTCTGGATGTTTTTTGTTGTTATTCTCTCTCTCACTGTTCAAATAAACCTACCATTAAATTATCAGACTGATCATTTCTTTGTCAGTGGGCAAACGTACAAAATCAGCAGGGGATCAAATGCCTTTTTCCCTCACTGTAGCCAACCGTGCTCATTAGAGGTGCATGGAAGGACAACAAACTAAACACAAAAAGCAGTAAAAAAATCAGTTTTCAATCTGGATGATTTAAAAGTACATAGCTCCAGTGGCTTCCTAATATCGAAGGAAGAGTTTATGCAGAACAGTGGAACATTTTTAAATTAGGTCAAGGTAATCAAGTACTCAGGGGTGTAGTAGTGGTGTAGCAGTAACCGTACCACGCTACGAACCCAGTAACCTGAGTTTTATTCCCGGTCATGACTAAGATCAAAAGCGAGTGATATCTGGATCCAGTGCCAAGGCCCTCGCTCCACCAAACCCGCGTGATGAAGAACGGCGAAAACAACGTGGTCAATATACACTAGCAGAAACAGGCCCTCATCCAATTGTGCATTAATAAATGGCTTGCCATTATTATTCGTAAACAATGAATCACCCAGCAAATGAAGTATTTGCTCGAGCTTTGGTGAGCAGGTAACCTGGGTCGTGGCATGGCAGTCCATGAGAAACACAATGTAAACAGTGTCGGCCATAATCAAATTGGGGTTGAGGTTTCATTTTGCATTCGCCAAGGTGATAGATGCTGGTTTTGTTATGGAGTTACCTGCCAGCCAGGTCCACGATATTGATGGTTGAGGACTTCTGCAGGGTGTGGCCACCGTCGCTCATTGCCTTCTGCACGAAGGTGATAGCAACAATGGTGTGCGCCCGACTGCAACATTCAAGAGATTAATGTGTAGTTTCACCACATTTGAACTAATATGGTGTAATCATGTACACTGATATGGGTACCCCTTGAAACAATGGAAAAAAAACGGCTTAAATATCTCCACCTCTGTCCACTCGGCAGTTTAAATGGGTACACAGTCGTTCGGCAGGCTGAGTGTGGTTGGGTAAAGTGTGGGTACTCGCACATCTTCAAGGATGTTGGCTACTGTGGAAGAAAAGGGACAAAATACTCTCGAGGGCTTAATTTTTTGGAGGCCTTTCCTCCAGCAGTTGCATGAGTAAGAAATCGCAGGGCTGTACCTTTACATGTACCTTTACCATATTATAAATCATTGATGCATAAAGCAGGTATTAGAGGCTGCTGTGGGGCTAGCTTGTGGGTATCAAAGGGCAGTGCAGAAAAATCCATTGTTGTACTATCCTCTCGTATATACGGGTTAAAAAAACACATGACTCTACACACGTGGGGAGGCCTTCATCCAGCAGTTGATTGACAAAATAGCCATACATGTACTTGTTATATATTCTTAAAATTGTGCCTACAACATTACGTTTGAGTTTGAGGACGGTTCGTCGTATTGAATACATATCTTTATGTGGAATAATAAGGAACTTAATCTTGAAGTGAGACTTGGGAGGCAATGTCAAAACTTAAATTAAACAAACATGAAAGATTAGATGACATATTACACGAAATAATACATGCATTTTAGCAACAGGAAGCTTATTTTGTGGTTGCTTTGTTAAAGTCTCTAACCCAGAGTAGACTCCTGTCTCACTCATTTTAAACATTACAGTTTACCGCTTCGCTGTTCTAAAGTAGCTTACCATTGGAAGTGAAAATGTGTAAATAAGAGGCAATAGCGTTGAATATTAGGTGATGATGTGCATCTTTTTTAAAGATATCATCGAGCATTACTACTATGGTTACTGTTCCCATGATTCTTCCACCTGTGTCAGACTCAGTATACCAAAGTTACCGTTTCTTCTCATCCACTGTGTTCTACCACCACACTAAAGGCCAAAACACGTCTGTTTCGCATGTAGGCTTTTGCGACCAATATCGGTAATACAGGGTTTTTTGGGTTAGATCGTGTAAATATATAAATGTGTCGTTAAACCCACCACCACCCGACACAGCCAATTAGTAAGGTTTGTCACATCAAAAGAACATGCCAATACTCTTTGACTTTTTCGGTAAAGTCACGTAGGTAAAATAAAATAAATGAAAACAACGAAATTAAATCACGACGTTTCGGAGGCAACACACGCTTCCGTCTTCAGGTGGAACAGACACAGCAAAATTAGCTGTATCAAGTGAACAGCTCTGGGACACATGAGATTATATACAGGTTAAGGGGGGGAGGAGCCAGGAAGGGACGTGGGTGGGGAGGGGGGGGGGCTAAGTTAAGCCGCTGGTTCTCATGACATTATTTTCTCCGATACCAAAGTACTATGCAAACCTCCCGGTTATTACCAAAGATTTGTCCATGAAGCGATCCAGATATACAAACATAGACACAACTTCAACCGAGAGGATGGTTTTAAATTGAGCAACTTTTGGAAAGATGTCATCAACCAAGTCAAACTTTAGCTGGCTTATAATTATACAGCCATTTCCGTTACTACCAGGATTGTACTCGCTCTCGTGCAGCACGCCATCACCCTCCCCCCGAACCTCCTGCAGCATAACAAAAGGTGGTTTTACGTGCAAGTACACCACCGTCTCCCCCAGAACCCCCTGCAGAATAACAAAAGGCGGCTTAACTTAGCCCCCCCTCCCCACCCACGTCCCTTCCTGGCTCCTCCCCCCCCCCCCCCTTAACCTGTATATAATCTCGTGTGTCCCAGAGCTGTTCACTTGATACAGCTAATTTTGCTGTGTCTGTTCCACCTGAAGACGGAAGCTTGTGTTGCCTCTGAAACGTCGTGATTTAATTTTGTTCATAATAAAGGTTAATTTAGTTTTCATTTATTTTATTTTACCTACGTGACTTTACCGAAACAACCAAAGAGTATGAATCCTTGCAGTCACAAAAGCTTCAAATCTAGAAGAACATGCCAATCTCTACTGACACCAACCACAGACTCTAGTGTCCCTATGATAACAGCCACCCTCTGTACACTCATTGATGCATTGCTGTTGATTGTATTGCACAGACATTCATCGATGTGTATTTACAGGGCACAGAAAGTCTGGACCTGCTAGTGGCGTTCATGTGTGTAGCAGCAATCGTTCGGTTCCGTGTCCCTTCTTGAATTCGACTGTCAATGTCGCCGTAGCTCCCAACAGGCACTGTTAACAAATTCTCCACTGCATTGCAGAAGAAATAAACATGGTAGCATTTTAGAGCTGCTTCTAAAATTAATGCATAGAACACTCAAGGAATTACTTACTGTTGTCATGGAAGTATGCACTATATGTTGCGTGGTATTTATCGGGAGATTTAAAAAAACACTCTTCTTAGGCATTTTTAATATAGATTAAAGGGTTTAGAGATATCTACGGGACCCTGTTTGCCAGTATCAAGATGATGAAATAAAAAATAATAAGCTTTACCCTTTCTGGCAAGAATACGGGCGTTAAGATGTTAAAACACCAAATAGACACCTATCACAAGGCATCAAGTCTGCATTAACCACACATAGGACAAAGGGTTTAGAGATCTCAATGCTCTTGCTACATTGTAAATTATAAAGCAAGGCCACAATTTATAATGAGCTTACAATGTACCACTTTTGACTATTTGCTTTTCTCCCAAAGAATCTTTGCTCAACAAATGTCTTATACACATTTTCTGGAACTATATTTCTTTGCACACATGTGTAATCTCAAAATCATGTTTCTTGAGGAAAAACCCCAACGTAGGAAAACGTGAATCGGTAACCTTGCTTGCAGTGGCCTTAATTTCTCCCACAGTCTTACCACAAATATGGCTAATCCCATTTTTGGAGCGTTACTACTGCTCTGCGTGGGTGCCTGCCCACTCCTACTCACCAAAGAACCCGTGGTCAACTTTCTCCCTGATGCGCAGACCTCCCTGTCTCCCACTTTGTGGATTCAAAAGGTCCCGTACTTGCTCATTGTAGATCTCCACCATGCTGAGGGACACCTGGGGCGAGACACCAGCCAGAGGCCACGAGACACTTGTTTGCTATCGAGCAGACACAAAGACGGGTGACTATCAAAGTTTCGATTTAAAGCTTTTGTGACTGCAAGGATTAATCTTCTTTGGTTCTTTCAATTGAAGCTCTGTCGTCCCGACAGTTCTGTTCTTTCACCTGAAGAAGGCTAATTGTGTTGTGGCCGAAACGTCGTGAGAATTTGATTGTCTTATTTTATTATTTTATTCTCATTCTACGTGACTTTACCGAAAGAACCAAAGAAGACTATCAAAGTCGTCTGTAAACCAGTCATGCATTTGTGGCTTATCTGGAAACGTCTCCACAAATGTAAACAACAACACAGCAGCAGATGTAGCAATAGTGCTGGAGTCGTTAAAACGTGATTCAGAGCTTCTAGACATTACTGACAAAGACTTCTCTATATATCTAATGTGGATAATGTAATAAAGTGAAGAATCTCATTCAGCTGGGATAAAGTAATATTTTTTTGGGAAAATCCAAGTGTCATGCTAGATTGTTTTTGCCAATAATGCACACAATTTCATAATTGCCATGACAGATTTCATTTAATTTCAAAGAAAACACCTGTGCATGGACATATGTAAAAATAAGAAAGTAGTAATCAGATGATGTTTAAATATGTAGATGGAAAATTTGATTGCTGTACACCATCGCAATTGGGTTACTTACAACATAACTGCGCATATTTGTTATTAAAATAACTTCTAGAAATATTGTGACTCCACACCACATATATACATTTTCATGGTTTACTAAATCGGATGCCTCATACTGGATCTGCTTAAAATATATATAAACATGAATGTACGTATTTAAAACTGGTTTGAAATGTCTTGACACGGTTGTGACTTCATTGCTGAAGTATACAGCGATTTAAAACATCAGATTATAGAAATAGTTTTTTGGAGTTTACTTTGATGCATACACATAATTAAGTATTTTACACATTCTTGGTTCTTTCGGTAAAGTCACGTAGAAGGGAAACAATAAAATAATAAAAATATAAAACAAAATTATCACGACGTTTCGACTGCAACACAAGCAATCATCATCAGGTGTGAAAACCACAACAAGAAAATTTCAAAAAAGTGGCGTTTTTTTAACGTTAGCACCACGGAGAGCGATTTGACAGTTTGTTCAGATGGACGAGTCCATCTATGTTCGGAAAAGAGGAGGGGCGAGACGAAAAATAATGGATGCGGTTTGAAAGCCACCTTAAGCGTGATCAGTCAATTAAGACCCGAAATGGTTGATCACATCCTTCCAATGATTGCTAAGCCAGAATCCATCTTCTCGGTTGAAATTGTCTCTGTGTTTGTATATGTGGATAGCCTCATGAACGAATCTCTCATGGTAGCCAAATGGCTTGCAAAGAACCTCTGTTTTGGAGAAGTCAATGTCATGTGAACCTACTGAATTATAACAGTGATCTGCCACGGCCAAGGTGTTGGTCCTACTGTGTTTCAGGTCTGCTTTGTGTTCACGAATGCGGTCCGAGACATATGCATTCGTGAACACAAAGCAGACCTGAAACACGGTAGGACCAACACCTCGACCGTTATAATTCAGTAGGTTCACATGACATTGACTTCTCCAAGACAGAGGTTATTTGCAAGCCATTTGGCTACCATGAGAGATTCGTTCATGAGGCTATCCACATATACAAACACAGAGACAATTTCAACCGAGAAGATGGATTATGGCTTAGCAATCATTGGAAGGATGTGATCAACCATTTCGGGTCTTAATTGACTGATCACGCTTAAGGTGGCTTTCAGACCGCATCCATTATTTTTCGTCTCCCCCCTCCTCTTTTCCGAACATAGATGGACTCGTCCATCTGAACAAACTGTCAAATCGCTATCCGTTAACGTGAAAAATAACTGCCACTTTTTTCAAATTTTCTTGTTGTGGTTTTCACACCTGATGATGATTGCTTGTGTTGCAGTCGAAACATCGTGAGAATTTTATTGTTTTATATATTTTTTTTATTTTATTGCATCCCTTCTACGTGACTTTACCGAAAGAACCAAGAATATGAATCCCTGCAGTCACGAAAGCTTTAAATCAAAATATTTTACACATGTAAAACAAGACAACGTGAATTCATGTTGCACACTTAATAAGCAACTATTTTATTTTATTTTTCTGTCGCCAGTGTTTCTGTGGTACATGAATTGTTGGTGGTGTACGAGTTGAAGGCAAAAAGTGCGCACGTTGAAAGGAAGACGTAAGCAGTAAAACAGCTGTGGTTGCCGTTCCACTATAATTGACCCAGGTGGATGCTCTGCTAAGCCTTGCACAGCTTAAGAAATTCAACCGAGGTGTGGAGTAAATCACCTTACAGAATATACATTACATATTACAGTGTATTACGTATGTATGTTGAGCTTCTTTTGCACCGTACGTAGCCAATCGTGCTAATCGGAGGTGCGGGGAAAGGATAACAAACTAAACACAAACAGCAATTCGAAAGAAATTAGTTTTGATTCTAGATGGTCTACATACTGACGTTTGTTATGTATTATCCCATAAATACTGTTTAAATTTGTAAATATATCAGCTGTAGAACTTACAGTGCAGAGCAGTGATATAATTTCAGTTACTACACCATTCAACAGTATACATACATTTTGGAAATGAGCCAATATGCAACCGAAGATATTTTTCAAACGTTGCTTGCCAATACTTCAGAGTATAGAGAGATATCAAAACTGCCAAATATTTTCTTAGATTGTTTTTTTACTATGGAACATACAGTCGAGTTCGGGTAGTTTTCGGGCACAATTTATGACTAATCTTTGTAAAAGCAGCATTTTTTTTGAACTCGTAAATCAAGGGCATATTATTGTTATTTGGAGCCAAATGAATCTACTGATACTATTATTTGCGCAAAACGTGCTTGTATTAAATACATCCTACTCTCCTACTTGTCAGTGCTTTCTTTATAATGGCATTCTGCAGCCTTTGACAATATTGACCTAACAGTCCCATTACCAGGGTGGCACTTGGGGGATTTCCCCTGCTGTTTTTTTTAAATTCAGAACCGAGCTTTCAGTTGTCATTGGGGGCGGTAGGGGAATACATGTCCTCCACCCCTGGATAAAATACTTTGAATTTACAATGTGAGGATTGAGCCTGATAATGCTTGGTGGAAAGCCCACATTGTCTTGCCAGGGCCAAGCTGCTATACACTTCATCGCATTTCATAGCAGTGTAAAATTCATATATCAGCTCTGTTTACATGAAAGTCTAGAAAAATGGTCTGTTGCTCAAAAAAATACAGGTCTATCTTCTGGTTTTACACTTATTGGCGGATGACCTTTGTTTAACTTCCCGTTTCTCCTCTGCTGATTTAGGGGGAAGGGAAGCTTTGAGCATCACCCTCTTAAGTTTGGGGAGTTTCCACTGTGTCGTCTGGTTTTCTTCCACAATAAGTCACTGACTGGAATTTGGCCAAACATCCCATTGTAGCAGGACTCTCCTAAAAACGTCTCTTGATACTCAGTGAGACTTCCAAAGATAAATGCATTACTTATTAAAATACATTACATACTAAGGCCATATCACCTGTTATGTGTTCAACGATTATTATTTTCAGTTGTCTGTAAATCTGTTATTGGATGAAGACATGCTGTGTTGGTTGGCGATGGAAACTGTTTGACCATACTTCACTACTCAGGCCAATGCGTGTAGGTGAAAGCCTTTCTAATTCATCCCTCCCACTGGAAAATTTACGAATCTCTCCATGCGCATTGCATTAATACATTGTTGAAAATATGCTTGGCACAAAATTCGGAATAGTGGAAATAAATATACATTCCAAGTAATAATTTTGTTTCCTTTTTCCTGTGGAAAAAGTAACCACGAGTCTATGTAGAACTGCATATATACAGCATAACCTATATGAATACACGAAATATAATTTCAAATTAATGCGTGGGTATTTAATTATAGTCTTTAAAATTAGTCGGTCATCCCTTAAAAATCTGAAATAATTTAGAAAGGAAAGAGATGATTCTCATCTTTCGCAGGTAAAAAAAAAATCTGATTTGGGGTAGAAAAGTAAAAACTGTGGGAAAATATATTTAATTCTGAACCAGGGAAATTATGCCAAATCATTGTTATCAGCAATTGATCAACTTCTGGATGAAAGCCTCCCCACGTCACCGTTATCCCTCATTGTCTTGCAATGTCACAATACATATCCTGCAGATGAGCTGATAGCATTGCTCCATCTCTGAGAGCTGCCCGCTGAAGCTTTTTCTCTCTTTTGGCTGCCATCCCATCACCAATCTCATCGATTTTCTTCGAGCGATGTATCCTGCTCAATCCACTTCTTTTTTTCACAGGCAACATGATTTATGATTTTTATTTATTCCCTGTTCCCTGTGTTCTTGTAGCAAAGTAATTCCCAGCATACACCATTCCATGATTATGTACATATTTTTTAGTTTTAGTTCCATGAGGGAATATTCATTGATTGGAATGTTTTTTTTCTAGGCAAGTTGGTACTGTATGTCTTTATGGGTGGCAATTGGAACATTATTCTAATCTACATCATAATTTGTTCCTGGTATGAATATTTCAGTTATAGACATCTCTGTAAAATTGCTGCACTGATTTTAAGATTTTTATAATCTATTATGCATTCTGGTTTCTGATTGCGCTCTTCAGGTTGCTATTTCATTGCTTCATATGACATGTCCAATAATTTTCGTGTGATTGTAGTGGGCTGTAACTGCGTTGTAGTTGTGGTGATTTGGTGTTGGAGGTTGTAATTGTATTGGTCGCTGCTGGAGTGAACTATGATGTATTTCCCTGGTTATGTAGGTATCTTCACCAACCCGCACTGACTGTTAGGGTGAAGAATGTCCACGTAACAACCCCATGACCAACAGTGTGGGGAAGCCTTCATCTAGCAGTGTATTAACCCAGGGCTGTACACTAACAGAACTAGGGGTCCACCATCACCACCACAGCAGCAGACGACACAGCTTTAAGCTTGTCAGGGGAAAGTGGAGTAATTGCTTTGTGCCATCACCACCAGTAAGTATGGCTTGCAAGCAAACCACACTACCCAATATGGCATGGTTCAGAAACGTGGTAATTCCTGAAATATATAGAACAAAAACTGAAAATTGTACAAAGAAGCACTGAGATATGCATGCTTGGAATTACGATGAGACAGAAAGAGGCAGACATGGATCAGAGAACATTCTCATGTAAATTAGTATCCAAACTGAATAAAAGTGCAGTAAACTAGGCTTGGGAAGGACACGTTGCTACAAGAGATGATGGACGATGGTTAAGAATAATAACAGTGACAGCTAAGGGCAAGAACACATCCACAGCAGAGATGGGGCGGTTAAATATGTTTGTGTTTCGGTTCTGGGTGTATTGTTTCATTGCAGAATCATGGGAGGTGGTAGAGGCTTGGGGAGGTCTTGATTGCATTCAGCAGTAGACTAACCATGGCTGATAATGAGAAAGCCCAAAAGATTACAATTTTAAAAGTAGAGAATAATTTTATGTAAAACTACTTTAAATGTATCAAATTTTGGACACTTAGCTTGCAATACACACAAATGTAACTTATAATTGGCCCAAAACGTTCAAATTCTGCAAAATTATCTCCAAAATACTCAATTGGTAAAACACATAGCAACATCGCCCCCTACTGCGAAAACCTGTCAGGCGCATCCTGAAAGAGTGGAGAGTAATGCTTTCCTGCGTTACATTATTACAGTATGACAGTACTTTAAACTTTAATAGCGAGCTAAATGCATACATGTGCACTTTACATACAATTCAGTATTTTACAGAATGTTAGACAGTGCAGGCTCGTGATGTCATTGTGATAGTGTTTATGCATATGCGTCGCTTCACTATATATGCTCGTATATCGCGTACGGCACACTAATTTCTTCCAGATGGAGGAGCCCAATGTGTTTCCTGTTAACGTGGTTCAACATTCCTTTCCAATTACACTGACGTTTGGCCTCGGGGGCCCCGATTCTCCAAACACCAACCTCACGGGGAAGCAATGCCCCCTGCTGGTCCTCCATAGGGGTTGATGTTGGCTTTCTAAAGCATGGGCACCTTGAACAATGTGCTAAGCTTTACTCTTCGGTTCTTTCGGTAAAGTCACGTAGGTAGAAAAAATAATAGATCACGACGTTTCGATCGCAACACAAGCGACCGTCTTCAGGTTAAGCTTTGTTGACCACCATCAAAGGTCATTAATTTAAACACTTCTATTTCAGGTTTAGATACGTATAGTTCTCATTTTCCCAAATGTTAACTTCAACACAGTACAGTAATTACAAATGTCTGAATATTCTGCGTTCTTAAATTGAGAATCACATTCCACTCACCTGAAATTCTGTGCCTTCTGCTGCAGATTCTTGCTTTCGCTCAATGTCTTCAAAGAGACGCTCACAAAACAAGGGCAAGATGCCTAAAACACAGGATCCCGCAAGTTATTTATTCTTACTGTGTTTACAACATGCATTCAACATTACAAGGTTTGATTATGATCAAGTCGTACATAAAGTTAATATTAGACCGTATAATAATTATAAGGTTTTGCAATTATTTTTATTTTGTGAACAATACTGATGACGATGGCTGTAAGGTTTTCCAACGATTATTCCCGTTTATTTTAGAACACGAGTGTTGCTTTCTTGTGCCATACCTTTGTTTGCCGAGCCACCAACAACAGAGTAGGTCTTTCCCGAGCCAGTCTGGCCATAAGCAAAGAGCGAACAGTTGTATCCATTCCAAGCGTTTTCCAAAATTCCTTCCCCCAGGTCGGAAAACACGCGTTTCTAATTCACAGAAGTCAACACATTTGTGAACACGTGCATACTCGCCATGGTTAATTTTATTGCAACACGAAGTTATAGAAGATACACATATTTAGTCATAAAAAAGTATTTAATAATAATTGTTTACAAAAATAAATGTATTTCATTGCTAAGAACGTTCCATTTTTTAAATCTTAAAATGCCGTTTATGGTATGTTTAAAGTGGAAAAACATACATAAATAGGAATGATATCCAATAACCGTTGTACATTGTTCTTGTCACAATCGAGAATTAACATTTAAAATGCAGAAAAAGCATATCTGACACCAATGATGCACGGAGGAGCTGGAGTTGTATTACCCGCCTGACAGCAAATGTTAAGCAGCTCACCTGGTCAGCAAATTGCTCATTCTCTGGTGCTAAGTAACCATTGTCCAGGGCGACAAAACCATCATGTGACCAGTAACTGTAGTCAAATGTGAACGTCTTCACGTCTGCATCCCCGGAACGGGGTTTAATTATCCGAGTGGTATTTCCTTCCATGCTGATAATTATGGAGGCCCCGCGGGTCTTTTCTCGTTCATTGTGAGCACACACACACAAACCATTAAGGAAAACACATATCACTCAAGGTATGAGGCATGAGCAACATTCATTGTACACAAAATACTTTGGGCAAATTTTAGGCTATGTGATTTTATGGGAAACCCCCCCCCCACCCCCCCCCCCCATTATTTATCAAGAACGTGGTTGCAGGCCTCAAAATGCTTTAACGCGTTCGGTACTGTGAGCGGGCTCTCACAGGCGTGTTACAATCATATAAGTTACGTGCTTCAAATGTGTGCTTTATTATTAAGCTAGATGGGTAAAAACTTAAATAATGTACAATAACACCAGCATTGAATGACAAGTTGACAAAGCCATGCTATATAAACTTTGAAGAAAAGCATTTACAACACTTTCCTCTTTATAAAAAAATATTGCCAACACGTTTGCAAAAAAACCTTTTTTTTAAATCGTTAAAATATATTTTACATTTAGAATTTGTATGGAACTTTTCACCAACATAATACATTTTGGTTCACATTCCATTAATGATGACATTGAAAACGAACACTAAAATGTAAATAATACTTTAAGATATTAAGATTATATTACAAAGCTGTACATTTGATCACATTTCACAAAGCAAAGGATATGAATGGTCTGACCCGCACCGCCACTTTTATATTTTCAGTCATCTTCGTTAACGAAGGTGGTTGAAATGCTTCGGGCTGCACCAATAGTAGTACAACGTATGACCCAAGGACTCCTCCAACAGCTCACGAGCCAGCCAGGTCTGACGCCCAAGTTTCGTGCACAGCGAACACTTGAACACTTTAAGGTGTCGCAAGACACGACTTGTGTTACACTGAAACAAAGATTGCCGCTTCCCAGCAACTGTCACGGATCGCTTTCAAAACAAAGTTTCTTATTCAGACCCTCTCACCTTCCCCGCATTTCTTAATGTATATATATGCTCAATAACCGATGTGATACTTAGAAGTCATAAGTATATTTTAAATAGATGTGGTGTAATGTAATATTAAGACACTAAGAATTGACATTGTATTCTCAAATATTAAATGTTTCGTTCTCATGACCATCATCAGTCATTGTCTATCCACTGCTGGATGATGGCATCACCATACGTCACCATCAATCAGTCCAGCACTACGACTACAATAAATCTCACTTCTGCACATGAGCTGATCTCATTGCGATGACGTATTATAAACGTGGACAACGATAAAGAGTATTGAATACAACCTTAAAATGTGCACAAATAAGTGTGGAGAGAATACAAATGTAGAGGTGTTACGGGAGGGGGACACGCGGTTGTAGGGCGGTGGCCACACACACGTCCGCTACGGCCACCACCCTGGGGGGCTGTGGGGGACGCTGTGATCCCTCCCAGCCCCACCCCTCAGTGAGGGACAGTATAAAAGGGGGGACCCGGAGAGCTGAGGGGCAGTTCGACTCAAGCAAGATGAAGAGCCAGTGAAGAAAGAAGATCGACTAGCTAGACCCTGGAACTCCTTTGGCCCGCTGTCCTTTTGAGGGCCGGGCAAAGCAAGCCAGGGTGCGACACCAGAGCCGCGAGGCCCGATGTCCTTTTGAGGGCCGGACTCGTGTGGCTGGTGATCGGGACCTGCGCCGAAGCTGGGCCAGGTCAGATAGCCTCTTAAGAGAGAACCAGGATAGAGGAAACCAGGGAGCTAGCGTGGGCTAAGGCTCGGGAAATGTTCCCTCTATAGAGTACGGGTGAAGTGGCCGTTACCTCTTCAAGTATCAGATTGGCCACTGTAGAGTGAAGTGTCTGTAATAAATACGTGTTGCCTCTAGAGAACAAGTCTCCGTCGTCAATAAGGCCACTACAACTGGTGACAGAAGTGGTTTTTACCTGCACGAGATGGACACGAGGAACACAGTTCGTGCGCGCGAACCAGGCCAAGTTGACCCTGCAGAGGCGGGTCCGCACGAGCCGGAGACGGAACCTGGGGCGATGCCGGTGCTTCAACAGCCATCGCAGCCACCGGGCACGCCGCCACAGTCCGGGGTGTTCTTCGGGATGCTCACTCCCCCCTCGCCAAATTACTGCTCGCCGTCGCCTCTATACTTGAAGAAATTACCCATACGGGAGGAGCGGGGGCGGGAGAGAGGGGGGAGAATCGGCGACAAACTACCATTCCCGCCATTAACACGGCGCCGCAAATTGAAATTGCCGCCATTTCCGGGGTGGACTCCGGGGGTGGCGGGGGCCGGGCACACCACCTGGGAGGCGGCACCCAACCACCGCACGCCACTTCATCCCCAAGCGACGGGCACGGCCATAGCCAACCAAGAAGTGGTGCAACCTACAGAGGGGGCCGCCATTGCACTGTACGACAGTGCTGTACGGGACCATCATCGGCAAGCGACGGAGCAGACGTTCCAGCAGCGACTGCCCGTTTTAACAGCGTTCACAGCTGATGGAGGCGACTGGGAAGCCTTCCAACGACGCTTCCTCGCCCACCAAGAGATGTCGGGCTGGTCTGCGAATGAGGCGCTGCGCGCCCTCCTGGCGACTATGGACGACAATGCTCTGGCCACCCTAGTGTCAACCCCGAGATCGCGTCGCTCTACACTGCAGGCAGCGCTCCAGTTGATGGCCACTGTCTACGGGCCGCCATCTGTGAATCGCCACCATTTTCACGAACGGAGGAAGGGCGCGAAGGAAATGCCTTTCGCCTACCGCACAGCTCTTTTGGCCCTCGTTAAGGCGGCTTTTCCGCGGATGGATTGCGAAGGCATCGATGCCATGGTAACGGAGAAGCTCCTAGCATTGGCCCAGGAGCTGGGCATCGTCGTCCTGGCAGCAGATGAGGCGGACATATGCTCGTTGCGGGTCGCCACGAACATTCATGCCCACGAGGTCCTGAAGTGGAACCGGCCTCTAATCGCCGCCGCCTCCACCTCAGAGCACAGCGAGCCCCAAGACGCCCAGCCATCGGAGGAGATCTTCGCTGCGACTCGTCCAGGGGATTGGAGGTCGGGTGGCCAACAGCCTCAGTATCCGGCGCACAAGCTGGAGCAACCGAGACCATCGTCAGCCCTCGTCACCTGCTACAACTGTGGCCTCCGAGGCCATGTTGCATCGGGGTGCCGGGCTCCACGGCAGCGTGCACCAGAACCTCGGCCGGACGACGCCTAGGCTTCCAAGTCATCCCAGCAATCTCCGGCAAGTCGCGGCACCACACATGCTCGGCCCCCCCACACACTACACACGACTCACCGTGCCGTACATGACACATCACGCACCACGGGCGCCAGTTCAGTGAGGGGTGGTGCGTTTGGACGAGTGCTTGGACCGGGTCAGTGGTCCGAGTTGGCTCATAGGGTGGTTGCTGCGTCGGCCGGATCGTCTGTGGTTGTGGGTTCCATTGAGGGAGTCGAGGTTCGGGTACTGGTTGACACTGGGGCGTCGGCAACGATTATCTCCGACCTGATCTATAACATACTCCCTGTTCAATGTCGACCATTACCGCCTTTTGACGTCCCGTGCTATGCGGCAAAAGGAGGATCCTTGGACATCATCGGTCAAATCCGGGCGAGAATTTGTATTGGCGATATTAAACTATCTGGGCCAGTCTTGGTTTCATCCTCTCTCGCAGTCCCATGTTTGTTGGGAACGGATTTTTTGGCTAAAATGCCAATTAAGATCCTCATTGATCAGGGCTGTATTGAACTTCCTTCGGGCCGCCGCATAGCGTTTTTGGTTTCCCCCAGCGGTAAATGCACAACCGCTGCGACTGTACAAGCAATGGCCTGGGTCGCAAATGTTGGTTCTCCTGCGGCTGCGAAAACCTCTCAGCATAGGGGTAGCACCACATGGGGTCCTCTTGGGTCCGTCGAACGGAGCAGCGAAGGGGCTGGAGTTGTTGGTGGCTCAGATGATAGTGTGGGCAGACGGGGATCCCTTTGTCATGGTTCTAAATGCGGGTACTCGGACGGCTGTGGTTCTACAGGGGACCGTGCTTGCTCACGCGTCGTCGGCACCAATGGCAGAACCGGTGATTGGGCATGTGCATGATGGTCCCACTCCACAGCCGGAACTAAGCCGGGATCAGGGGTGGTTGGATTCACTTTGTTCTGAATCCAGTGACCTGTCCGGTTCACAACTTGCTGCACTGCGCGCCCTGTTGCTTAAATTTTCTGACGTTTTTAGCAACAACAAATATGATATCAGTTGCACCGACTTGCTACATCACCATATTGACACGGGTGATGCCGCCCTCATCCGGCAAAATCCTTTCTGGTTAAGCCCCGCCGAGAAGGAGCATGTCAAATCGACTGTTAATGACATGCTGTCGGCGGACATCATTTCCCCTTCCACCAGTCCATGGGGGGCCCCCATCGTGCTCGTCAAAAAACACAATGGGTCTTTGAGGTTTTGCGTAGATTTTCGTCACCTGAATAAGATCTCTGTGGCTGACGCATATCCACTCGCCAGAATGGACGAATCATTGGACGCCTTGGCGGGGGCACAATATTTCTCCACGTTAGACCTGCTATCGAGATTTTGGCAACTTCCCCTGGACGAGCAGTCAAAACCAAAGACCGCTTTTAGAACACCCGTGGGCCTATTCCAGTTTAATCAGTTGCCCATGGGACTCCACTCAGCCCCTGTGACATTCCAGCGCTTGATGGAATTGGTTTTGGCCGGTCTCCAATGGGATACCTGTTTAATTTACCTGGACGATGTCATTGTGTTCAGCCGGACGTTCGAGGAACACCTCGAACGTCTATGGGCAGTATTCCTGAAAATGCAGTCCGCTAAATTAAAGTTCAAGCCACAGAAGTGCCACCTCCTCCGGGAATCTGTGTGGTATTTGGGGCACAGTGAGTCATTCAGGTATCTCCACTGATCCCGCTAAAACTCAGTGCATCAGCTCCTGGCCTACGCCCACTTCGGTCAGTGAGGTCCGTAGCTTCATAGGGTTTGCCTCATACTATCGGCGGTTCATCGCACACTTTGTCACCATAGCCAAGCCCCTCCACGCTCTAACGGCAAAGGGCGTAAAATTTTGCTGGGGTCCTGAGGAGGAGGCCGCCTTCCACTCCCTCAGGGACGCCCTCGTGAGTACTCCGCCCCTGTGTTACCCTGATT